GGTTTTCCTCCTTTTATGCCTCGTCTTTTTCACACTTTCAAGCTAACTTCGTTGCCTTTTTTGGCCCTTTGGAGCTGTTTTTAAACATATTTGTGATCCTGCAGACGTTAAAGGTGCATTACATGGTCTTATTGTTTAAATGCATTTTCTAAATGGACGAGTATTCAAACGGCACTTCTCGAACATTAATAAAAATGCTTTGAATTCACTTCCTCTTCTTGATTTCAGCTGTTTTAGCTTCATATGAAACATATCGTTCCTTTGCTTTTGAGTTGACAGCATGACTTACTCTTGCATGTTAGTCATATTTGCTGGTTTTCAGCACACGTGTGCTCGTATCTGCCTGACTTCAGATCTGCAGTCGAGTTATTTTGCGTCTGCTTGTGGTTGTTTATCGCCCGCTAAGCTCATTCAGTAATCCGCGAGCGTCCGCAGCCTCCATCAATGATTCAGACCTTCTGACGTCTCTTTCTGCGGCTCTCTGAACATAACTGCTTTTCTTCTTCTTCAGCTGAGCTGCTGCCGTGAGGCCGATGCATTTATACAGCACATTTCACCCAGAGGCACCGAACTGCTTCACAGAGCACTCAAAGGCCCCACAAACAGTGAGAAAACCATCAAAAGGGAGCAAACGCACAAAATAAAACCAATAAAAGCAACACAACACTGCACACACAGCAGAAACTAACAAGAAATGAAAACAATAAAAACAAATATGTTCGATTTAGAGGAAGTGTAACTAAAAGCTTCGCTCACGTCCTCAGCACATCCTTATTTTGTTCACACGGATCAGTTTGAGGCCCAAAATGAACAAAAACCATAAATGAAGAAAGACGGTCCGTGTCTTAGGTTCAGGTGGACACGACCTTTGAACCCTCAAAGGCTCATTTCAGCCAAATAACCAATAAAAATCTATTAAATGTAGACATGCCTGCTTCTTTACAATCATAAATCAGGATAAAAATCTGTCATATAATATAAATATACAGTCACATCCCTCCTGCTCTTGTGTTGGTTCTCTGCCTGGTTCTGATCCCTGATTGGCTGCTGTCTCTGCAGGTCGCCATCGACTTCACAGCATCCAACGGAGACCCTCGCAACAGCTGCTCCCTGCACTACATCCACCCGTACCAGCCCAACGAGTACCTGAAGGCTCTGGTGGCCGTGGGAGAAATCTGCCAGGACTACGACAGGTCGCTGCAACTCAGCAGCCAATCACAAAGCTCCGTTCATTACTGTGATCATGTACTCACAAGATTAAAGAAGCATCACTTATGAGCAGCGATAGCTCAGTAGGTAGAGTGGTCGCCCCATGATCGGCAGGTCGGGGGTTCGAATCCACTGAGCGGCTGCCCTGAGCGAGGTACCGTCCCAGCTCACTGCTCCCCGGGCGCCCAGTGGCTGCTTCACTGAGTGGGTCAAATGCAGAGAGGAATTTCCCCACGGGGATCAATAAAGTACATTATTAATATTTATTATTATCCTGCCTGGTTACACTCCCAACGTGGGCGTGGCCTCTTTGACTGACAGGCGGCTGTAGCCGCTAGCTGTCTGCTAGCTTCACCTGAACTGGAGATCTGAGCCTTTTGAATGACATCATCTGACCAATAATATGGCTGCTGTGTACTTAACCGCACTAGCT